GAAGCCATTACAAGAATGAAAAAAGGAAGGAAGGAAGGAAGGAAAGGGAGAAAGGGAGGAAGAAAGGAAAGGAAAAAAGGGACAAAGGAAGGAAGGAAAGGGAGGGAGGGAGGGAGGAAGGGAGGAAGAAAGGAAAGGGAGGGAGGCAAGGAGAGAAGGAAGGTAGAAAGAAAGAAGGAGGGATGGAGGAAGGAAAAGTTAATAAACCATACTCCTTAGATTAATGAAGATATTCAAAGGGACCATTGAGCTCCAGAGCTGCTAGTACTCCATCCAGAAAGAGGGTTTCATATGAGAAGGGATCCCATTGCCCTACACTCACCATTACACTGCTCTGCAAAGCCAAGGTGCCAGGCAGAAGTGAGAGGTGGATGGGGGTTATTAAATTCTAGGATGATTGTGGAAAAACAGAGTTCCTCTTATACCTGTTTCCCCTCTCCCCATTTACTAAGACTGCTTTCTTCATTCTCACTTCTCCTGCCTGCAAGATACCAATGGCAAGATCTTAGAAAAGGTTGTTCTGGGAAGGGTAGGGTTAATAGCCATTGGCAAATAGAAGAGACTTTGGGACATAGAGTAAATTATCCATTGTTATCTTCAGGGTCATTCTAACAAAGCTGATATCCCCCATTAGAGTAATCTTCTACAAAGGGGAAAGAAAATACCAATTAGAAATGACAATATCCAGGAAGGAAGGAAGAAGGAGGAAGTTATATTTTCATAGATTATTTATGGACTGCCATATAGGAATCTGTTACCTGAAGGCAATTAAATATACATTTATTCATGTTTATTCCCCATGTCATTTCATACAACCCTGCCTCTGAAATGGAGATAGAGTTAAAATAGAAATGAATAATTAAAAGAGTCACATCCCAGAGCCCTTCATTCCTAACTAGGATGATCTTCATAGAATATCAGATGTTTGTGATCATTGTTATTCTGATATTTTCAATGTAATAGTAATAATTAGGGGAAGCAAAACAATACAACACTCCTATTAGGCAAATTAACCAAAACTGAGAAATAAGCAAAATATATCCATTGGTGATCTTTCAGAATAGGACTGAAAGAATTTCCATCAACAGAGCTACTTTGTAACATAGCAGTTAATTAGTAGAGCTTTATCCATTAGAAATTCTAATAATGTCTGTCTAAAGAAATAGATAACTTCAATGGCTATGTTTTACCATATTGTAAGACACTAAGCCAGTTTTTTAACTAACTATCCCTGATGTATCCCAATAGTTATACATATATATATATATATATATATAGAGAGAGAGAGAGAGAGAGAGAAATAGATATAGATTTATACATATACATACATATATATATATATATATACACATACATATGCATTACTCACTTCTCAACTGTTCTTTGGATTCATTTTGACATTGCATTGGTTCTCCTATTAGGTAATGAGGTGGATAGAATCCTTGACTTGTTTATTTTAACCTTGTAGAGAGTTGTGTTCAACTTTCTCCATGTTATACTTCAATAGTTTTCATTGACTCTCAAAAACCGTCCTATGTTTTAGTGAATTTACCTAATGGAATTTAACTCATGTGTAAATAATCACATGTGTTTCCTTCATAACTCAAAACATTACACTAATTATTTGTCTTTCCTATTTATATAGTCGCACTACCTATAACTCACATCTGAGTCAATACCTAGTTAATTCTTGGTTTTTATATGCCCCAATCCATGGTTGGCAGTTGATGATTTTGGATGAAGTTTTTCTTGTCAGAATTAGCTCTACCTAAAATACTTAATAGTAGGCAAATAGAAAAATATTTCACAGCTAAAATTTATTTTTCTCTATCCTTATCACTTTGAAAACAGATATGCAAGTCAAAATGTGATATGAAACTTTATACTGATAATAGATGAGTTTACCATTGGAAAAAATATTCTGTATGCCCTGTGGAGGACTAAATGAAATGAAAAAAATGGTGCTCAGAAGTTACAATACCATTAACAATTATGCTGTAAAAAATTTAACAGGAAAAATATACTGTCATAGAAAATATATTTTTTAAAAAAGTAAATTATATGCTGCTTTTTCTTATTATCTCAGTAATATGATACAAGTGTCAGTCAGTAAATTTATGAACATTCATAGATATAATAGTTTCTTTTCAAGGAAATCTCTTCTAACCGTGCTCAATTTTTTCTTCATTTCTCTTATATTCATTAAATGAGAATCATAAAAAAAAGCAAAAAGAAACATTTCTAATGATCATTATTTATCATTAGGGTAGACTATAATTTGGTATTATTTCTCAATCATCCCTTCATGAAAACTCATTGTTCCTTTCGGGTATTTCATTCTAGAAGATGGATGAATACACTGATATTAAATAAAATTAAATAAATGAAATGAGAAGAAATTGGTAAGATTACATAAAAGAATTTTTAAATACCATGTCTTCCACTTGCTGACTGAATGAAACATCAATATTGGGTAACACAGTTTATAAAATTGTTACTATTACTTCTAGATTGTCAAGAAGTATTGGTAAGAGATATAAAATATTATGTTGAAGAGGAAGAAATTATAAATGACAAAAACCCCTGTTTCCAGTTTGATTTCCTATTTTGTGGCAACTTAAATGAAAAAAATCTTATTAATTTGAAATTATGTTCTCTGAAAACATTTTTTAATAAACTCTAAAATTAAATGGTCATCCTTAAGTTTAAATTTCTTAAAATAGAAATAGTTTGTGACAGACCAACTATTATTGATTTAAACATCTTTAATTACTAACCATTATAAGCTATTTTTTAAAACTGAGGTCAGATTTGGTCCAAGGTCACACTAATATATTTCATTGTCTATAAGTGACATTCGCTGAATATTAGTGGAGGCTACATTTTTAGCATTCCCTCTGGCATGCTGAGATTAGATGTGACATTTCTTGTCCAGAATAAAACACAAGGTCAATTCCAAAAAATATAATACTATATTTTTGTGCAACTTTGCATTTTCTTATCTATAGGACACAGGCAGTCATTTTAAAGCACAGGCCTTAAGAACTATTACCAGGCACATGTTAAGTCCTTCTCATTGGATGCCACCATTGTCCTAGACTTTTTAACTACCTCTGAGCCCTCAGCAAAATCCCTGAGAAAATAACCACAGTGGAGGGCAGAATTCCCCAGCTCTTACTGTATAAGGTTGAGGAAGTTTTTCCTCTCACTGCCTGGGGAGGTTGATAGTTTCACCAGCAGAAAGTTTCCCACTGAGATAAGTTATAAAGGATGACTGGCATATGTAAATCCAAGAGAACTATTATACATCTCTATTATGGTTAGTTAAGTCAGATTTTGTATAACACCAATCAAGTATCAATTATTTATAAAAATACTTAGGAAAAATAACCCACTAGTAAGCTTGCAATTGGAAAAACAATTTTAAAATGCCATGGTTGATAGTCTGAAATGCCACGAAATGCTTGATAGTTTATTTTTCTTCCTAAAATCTTAAAACTTTAAAAGTAATAATAACCCAGTTAGCCTGAGAGCCAGCTTTGCTCTCAAATCACCCTGACATATCGAATTACCCTGATTAGAGTTAGTTAATACCTGAAAACATGCACATATACTTGAGTTTTGCTCTCTGAAATCTTAGGAAATTCAGGCATTTTTTTTCAACTAAACATATGGATATTTAGTTATAATCAAGTAACAAAATCTTATAAATCACCAACAGTCTTCAGTATAAAGAAAATTAGCAATTTGAAAATTAAAATTACTTCTTGGTATGGTTATTTGTACTAAACTACATGGTACAATAACATAAACTAAAGAAGCAGTTATGGGTTTATTCTGCTTAGTCTCAGTCTTATCTAGAAAGGCACACCTAGAAGTGGGTTTATGATCCTGATTACAGGATTGTATTATCAGTAATTTGTATTATCTGAAAACTTTAAAATAATTTAGATATTATCTACAAAAACCAAATGCTTTTCAGAGAAACTCAACAAAAGGCCAATAAATACATAATTCCTCCTATCGGTTGCAATCTGTCTTCCTAGGTATCTAGGAAATGTTACTGTATGTGAAAGGAGCCTGTGCTATAATACTTCAACCTTTTCTATTAAATAAAGTTGACTGTTAATATGGGTTGAAGCTACATAGCACAGATAGCTCTTTATATCTATATGGAGTACAATGAGCCATCCAAGCTAACTCAGCAGACAGAACATTTACTAACAAAATGATTATAGAGACCCATTGATTTGATGGATGTCTGGGATTGTATGCAATAGAGAGCCCATGACAAAAATAGTAACAGATTTGAAAGCAGTTAACAGGCCACTTTTATCCATCCTGGCATGGTTTATTAGCATGAGACAGGGTTCCTGTTTTCTCTCTCTTTAATGATACTGTTCTATGAACCAAAGAATGTTTCATTTGGAAAATAAGAAAGCATTGACATGTTATCTGAACTGTGGTTTCTTTAGTGATGCTAAGGGAATAAATATGCTAATTCTGTGCTTTGAAGAATGCACTGGGTAAGGCCCATTACTTTACTGATTTCAGTGACTACTAGGCCCAGGTGAGAAAAGGTTAACACCACACAACAGGGGATATTTCATTATGCAAAAGTTTTGAGTTAGAAATGTAATGGAGAATTTCAGTGACATCTTCATGTATTTTAACATGGTGATTTTCATATTACATTCTCCAAAGTAAGATTTAATAACTTGAAGCAATTTACCTCAAGCTACTACTTGATTCTACATAAAAGAAACAGTTACTATGGAAAGCTATCACAAAAACTGGGAAATATGCTCAAATTCTTACACAAATAATGCCTTTTCATATAGGAATAAAAGACAATCTTCCTCATACACAAATTTACAAAAGCACTTTCCTGGAGGAAATGATATTTCCTTTGAAACACCAGGAAGGAACTCAAAAATGGCAGAAATGTCAACTGGAAAGAAGAATTTTCCCTAGCTTTAAAACCGGAACGAAACAACTCTCATTTGCAAAACATTCCTTTATTATTAGAAATAAATTATTTGTATAAAAATTGCATGCGTCAATCATTGCATTTATTTTTAGCACAACCCAGGGCTTCAATCCGGTCAGCCATTACAAGAAACAGACTCATTTTCTTACACAAGTTGAACAGTGAGGGACAGGAACGGGAGTTCTCACAATCACAGAAAAATACTTACAAGAATAACATCAGACATGGTTTATTTCAACAGCATTTTTTTTCACAAGCTAACATTAGTTTTCCTTTTGAGATTTGTTTTTTAACTGCTCATGAGTAAGCAATACTTTAGCTTGACACTCATTGGTTGAAATGTATAAAATGTGTTACTTCACTCCCCATTATTGGTACTTTTGGCTCATGGCTAATTTAGTTCCTTACAAGACTGACTATTGATTTGATGGACTGTAGTCTATGGAAATCCCCAGGAGTGAGTATTTGCAGTGTCGTGCTCCTTGTTTAAGATCACAAATCACATTTCTTCAGATTGCATCACTTCCCTGTTCATATTGAATGATTGCTGTAGCTGATATATGTTGTCTTGGTAGAAGAAGCTGTTAAAACAAAGTGAGAAAAATTTATTGTAATAATAAACTATTTGGTTAACACAATGTTAAAATTCAAATCCTGTGATGATTATTTTGTGATACTCAGTTTTTACAACATGTTGCTCATTTTTTAAAAACTCTGTAGTAGGAATTCAATGATTGTAGAAATTAAAATTCAATAGCAACTTTAATCTGTAAAAAAACACTATTCTAATTTACAGTATATGGGTATTTAGCACAAAACTAAAAATGCAAAAATGGTAATCATTTAACAAATTTAGACAAAATTCTATGTAAGTGTATATTTTGACTAACAAAGAATTACATACATGTAAAATGAAAGTAAGATATCTTCTATGTCTCACAAAATAAAATAAAATTTATCAACTTGAGCCAAAATCCTCAATTTATTTTTGTTCTTTGACAATAAATATGTACTCATTTAAAAATAAACAATAATTTTAAATTCTAGAGATGAAGATGGTAAAATACCAAGTACACAGAGTGCGTGAAGTAAAACATACATTGTCAGTACATATTTATGTTTGTTTTGCTTTTATTCAAAGGATACAAATAGAGATGCTTAGAAAATAAATATTCAAAGGAGCAAGTGAATGATTAATTATATTTTAAAAACCTAAACATATCTATATTTCAGTACATAAATCCAATTCAGGGTAAAATAATTTTAGTTATTGAACATTGAAAAAGACTAGAAATATAATGTTCCTCCTCTTAAATAATTGACAATCAAACTCATTCCAATGTGGTATTTAACATTGATGGCTAATCAGGTAAGTTCTTACAGAAAGCAAGCTCATACAACTTCCACAGTCACAAAAATTAACACACAAAGTTCTAGGAAGTGCTTTTTTTTACTCGTTATTTCATTAAGTGTTATGAGCTACATGCCAAAATAGGTAAGATACTGCTTCTTTTGTCCATATTGCTCATATTTCTAAAAGTTATAATTGTGGGATGGGGAAAAGGAAGTAGACTTAGGCTTGATTTTAATGTACATTATATTCCCTACAAAACGGATGAAAAAGTTCACTGAACAATGCCCCTGAGTCTTAATTTCATCACTGGTCAAAAGCCTACAGCATTGAGTGTTTGTGAGGGTCGAGACAGACTACATTTTGTGGGGAGAACCACAAAATGACATTTTAGTCTGGGAGAACAATGTGGAGTCTTACTCTCTAGTCACTGTTGCCTAACAGTAAGATATCTGCTGGACTTGTTTGGTATGAATTGAAACAATGATGTTTATTTTTGTTTACATTCAGTTTTTAATTTATCTGATGCACTTCTATGCCTCTAAATTTCTTTCAAGAAAATAAAATCTGTATTTTACATTTTTTAGAGAAGATGAAGAAAACTCATCATGAATTAGAAAAATGACCACTCAAAAGGTCACTCAAATTCATGCAATGTACAATATTGTCAACAATACCCTAAAATATAGAAAGTACTTATTAAGTTTATAAACTACAGAAATAAAAAGTCGTAATTGAAAGAGAGGGAAAAAATATGTCATCCATTATTTTGATATCCTGAAGATGTTATTCAGCATATGGTGATTTAGATCAAACCATCTTTAAGAATCATTCTAACTTTTGAGAGTTTATAACAAAACAAAGTTCCACACTTCATTTTTTAAACTATTAAAAGTGATCTTCAGGAAGAAAGATAGAATTCTACAGAAAAATGAAGCTATAATTCACAGGAGAGTAATGTTACTTTTTCCACTGGTTACAATAAAGAATATTAAGTTTGGAAAACAGCATTTAATTGACATGAATGAAAACAATAATAAGGAATAAACAGTGAATGACTGATAACTTGCACGAATCCTTATTTCAGAAGTAGTGAAGAGCAAAATGGATCAGAAATGGAAAGGTGAACTAATAGAGGGGTTTCTAACAGTAGAAATCAACATGCTTATGGGAAAACAAGATTTTCTGTATAGCAACAATGAATTACCTCGTGTGCACTACCCTGAGTTCATCTGCTAGGGGAGGCAAATCTACCTCTAGTGGCAGCTGTCTCCATGACTTATTCATGAGTAACATAAGGTCAACCATCTACAGCCCTGGTTAATTGGGTACAATTGGTGAAATTTATATAGACCAACTCTATTTCTATGTCTCTCACCCCGTTCTGAAACAACAGGACCTGTTTTATGCAAACTATAGTATTTTGCAAGCTCAGCAGAATTGGTTTGCTTTCCAGTTTCACACTACTTATATTTAATACATGTAGCTTTTCAAGCCTTAAAATCTTGAACAGATGACCAGAATGTCTGGTATTAACAAGTCACATTTAACATGAGCTTTCTGAATAAGAAAAGTTCTAAAGCTTCTAACCATGACAGAAAAGCATTTCATGTTAGTATCAATAAACAGCTATTTGGTCAGACAAAAAAAAATCTCAGTAATTGGTAGCCAAAATATTCTAGATATTAAAGAGAAGAGAGATGCTAAAACAATAGTTTTTTTGTTTAATTCTAAGATACTATTTCTATTAATCACAGACCAATTTACATTTTTAAGGCAGCAATGATGCCTTAAAACATTTACACAATAGTTTTATAGTTTACAAAGCACTATTTTGTATGTCATTTTCATTTCATAATACTAATTGTGATTTATCAAAATTCTGGCAGCAGGAAATATGAGTATGCAGCAATGTGCATGCTTTGATAGTGTATTAAGCAGCCATGGATTTATTGAGAATTGACTACTAACTTTGAAAAATGCTTTAAACTTGAACATGTTAGGTGCTTGTCATGATTGAATGTCAAATATTTTTCTAATATTCAATTATTCTTCTAACTACCTACCACATTTTTAGAAGAAAAATATATTTAAGTTGTTAACTGTGTTGATACCTTTATAGTCTGTGATTTCAGAAACTTTGACTAATTTAAACCACTAATACATGTACTAAAGTAACAGGGATAGAAGAGCCCTTGACACATGTGCTGGGTTTTTCACTCAGACTCCTATATTAAATGAAGTACAAGAATCTACCCCTTTCTCATAGCATGGACATATAAGTAAATAAAAACAAAAAAACAGGTGACCATGGCTGGGATCCTGGAAAAATGTGTGCAGATTTCACACACTGTTTGTCCCAAGTGTGTAAACTATTACCAATTTATTTAAGCCATATCACTTTATTTTTTTCTCCTTTTATTTTATTGTTTTTACATTTATTTACATGTGTATATACTGTTTGTGCCTTATCACTTTAACTGGACATAATTTATTTAAATTTAAACTGCTCTTGTAAAAGATGAACAAACTGAAATGTCCAAAGTACAATTCAACCTACATTCAGGCAGTAATTGAAGCTATCTTAATTCATCTTTCTCACTTTCCTTCACCTTCCAAAAGTGAGTCTCTGATTCTTCCAGAATATTATAGGCTCAACCTCCAAATCATCTTCATGTTTGGAATGTTTAATTCTTATATTAGAGAAAATAGAGAAACAAATGCATGCTATATAAGTTCCATTTCAATGTCAACAGAAAGAAAAAAAAATTGGGGAAAACAGGAAGTATTTAAGAGTTATTTAAAGGAGTGAAAGCACTATTAATTATCTTCTCCACCATTTTTCATAAGTGGGTCTGGGATGATCTCTATTTGTTTCACTAAGTTTGGTTGTCCCCATTTGAAACCATATCGTGTAATTTTTTTGATTGTTATTAAAATATAGGTATAGCAACAGGCTCCAATAGTCATACTGAGAAGTGCCGGTGTTCAAAGTGTATCATTGCCAACAGCAGTCTCTTGGCATCTACATAGGTTTTAACTTTCCACACTGTTATTTTCAAGGTATTAAAACACAAAATTCTGCCCTGGGATCACAAGCATTGCACTCTGATTCCTTTATTACTAGCTTTGATATATATTTGCTAAGAGCCCAAACAGGCCCATCATCAGTAACTTGCTTACCTATAATAAGAGATAATTATAACTATTTTTACTAAAACTCATGCTTATTTTGCCTTCTCTTATAGTTTCACAAGGTTGCATGTTGGCAGAACAGTGAATATGTGAGGGATATTTGTGGAATCTCAAAGTTTCTTTCTCTAAAAGTGACTACATTTGGTACTAGTAATCTGAAGATAATCTCTATACCCAATCTGGCCAGTAATTACAGGTAATCTAAGGTAACTAAAACTAATAAGTTTAATTAAGCAATGCTTATCATCTATTACAATAGAAAATATTAACCTGGAATCTTAATAGAAGGGAAGGTTTGTGAATCCAGTGAAAACTGTGAATTGCTACAGTAACTAAATCAAATAAAGCCACTTCTTACTCTTCCTCTGTATTTAGTGCCAAAAGTATAGCAAGGAGGGAATACATCTTGCTGAAGGATTCCAAAAGGAAGAGAGAAGAGAGTTCTTTTTCTTCACTATCCTCCTGCCTCAGTCATCCAAGTGCCAGGATTACAGGCATGTACCACTGAAGAGAGTATTTTTGTGTATGAAGTATCACATACCTGTTTCTATTCCCAGATGACTGAAAACCTCTCTAATGTAAGGACTTAAGCTTTTATTTGTGTGTATTTGAACCATCTACAGAAATAAGTAATACAAAGTTTGTAACAATGACGAAAGTGAGGTTTCTGGTATTTTACAATACAAATTTTCAATGTATTTGCTACTTTTCAATAGATATCAAGATGGACTTTTATGGATAAGTTAATCGTACTGAGTTAGCATGGGTGCCAATGTACTGTTTTCATGTGCTGCTTTGGAAACAGACTATAGAGAAGAGAAAGAGATATGAGGAAAAGGGAGATGGGTGGAGACTGTGGAAAGGATTCTCTATTCAGGGTTATTAAACTTTCAGAGAAGAGGTCTAATTATCTTAACATATTCAATAAAGGAAATCAAGGGATGCAAAAAGAAGAATACTTGGTAACCAAGTATGTACTGTGACTTATCTAAGCACATTGTTTTCTCATTACCCTGAAGACCCGTAAAACGTCATTTATTGGTAAGATCTCTAGTAGAGCATTCCATGAATATTGCTAAATGATTACAGTCATAAAGAATAGCCAACATTGAACTAACAAAAGTTGGAGAATAGTTCCTAAAGGTCAAAAGTGAATTTTGTAAATGGAAGAAACTTCCAAACCACAAATTCTGAAATGACTCAAAAGAAAGACCTGAGTGTCATGCTTTGTAAAAGAGATTTTGTCACCATGTTTGTGCTCTGGAGAATAGCCACCTATCATTTGGCTGTCACCAAATTTTGTTCTGACTTTTGTGACAGTCTCATGGTATATGGGTACCAGCATGCCCCTACAACCGTGTAGTACAGTCCCCAAGATGGGTAGAAGAATGTTCAACGTACATCTATTAGGAAGTGCTCCCGCTCTTGACCATCTGAAAGTCTACAGATGACTTACTGTTGGTTTCAAGACTCTCACAGAGCTCACTTTTCACTTCGCCATTTGGTCTGTCATTTCCTTTTTGGATCAGTTTGCTTTGCATGGTGGCAGCTGTCACCACAGCCTTGAAGCTTCTCTTGCGTTTTTGAACATTCTGCTCTGGATGAAAAATTATAATATAAACCTTGGGCATATAGAGCATCCCCAGAGACACCGAAGCACTTAAACTCATGGAGACAGTAAGTGTTGTTGTCTGGATGTACATCTGAGGGAAGGAAAAGAAAAAAGAATCACTGTTGTTAATTCTGACTAGTAGGAGATAAAGCACATAATATGCTATTTTCTAAAATTATTCCAGCTTCTCTGCTAAAGGTACTTAGAAAGGACTTATTGAAATTGCCCTTAACAACTTGCATTTCTATATCCCAACTTGTAAATAATGATGAGTAAGTTTGTATTTTTTATTGAGCCAAATTCCTTGAAAGAAATAGACAAAAAAAAAAAGCCAAACCCAGGCAGTGAAACTTAGTTTATTTTTCAGTTTATAAACTACACAAGGAAGAGGACATAAGCACTCCAAGAACAAACTAACACTTTATGCCTTCCTCCCTCAGGAGGTACCAGTGGACCAAGTATTGTTCTTCTGGCAATACTTAATCCAGAAGGCAAATCACATATAGTGAAAAGAGAATGGGAATCAAGTGTTCTAGAATATTATTATATCATTCACTTCTTGAATGATACTAAGAAAGAAATCTTTTTTTTCTCGGCAATACTGGGGTTGGAGCTCAGAGCCTTGTGCTTGTTAGGAAATCGCTCTGCTACCTGAGCTACCTCCAGCCCTTTTTGCTTTAGTTATTTCTCAGATAGGGTCTCATGTTTTTCCCAGGTCTAAACTCCAATCTCCTAACCTGCACCACCATTCCTGCCTTGTTTTATTGAGATGGGGGTGGCTAACTTTTTGCCCAAGCTACCCTTGAACTGCCATCCTCCTGATCTCTGCCTTTTGAGTGGCTAGAATTATAGGTTTGAGCCACTATGCTCCACAAAAACAATGTCTTAAGATTGGAAAAAAGATCTTTATTCCATACTTATGATCCTCATTAATAGAATAATACCTCTGATAATACTTTAACACTTCTGAATATGAAAAGTTGTCAAATTTCATATGACTATCCTCAGGAGCCAAACTGTGTCTTTTTAAAAAAAGGATTGAAAAATATTTTTTCTTAAAGACGATATCCTGAACCAACATTAGTGTTGTTTTTTTCCTGGGGGAGATTGCTTGCTCTTAACAGATGACAAAGACTTCAGGTCAAGAATTGTCCAAACCGTGATGCCAGGCACTAGTTCAAGGACTATCCTTCTCTGTAGATTTCTGAATTACTGATCAATTCATCCACCACTATGGGAATCTATATAGAAGACCTCCCTGTTAGTATGGCAATGTCTTTCTAAAAAGTAATACAAAATTTATTTCAAAGGTCACCTCCTTCAGGAAGTTCTCCATAATGAATCTTGCCTCAGGCTGGCAGAGTGGCTGCTGCCTAGTAAGCTTGAGGCCCTGAGTTCAGACCCCAGTGCCATCAAAAATAAAAATCCTGCCTCAATTATAGTTTTTATTTTACTCCTCCCAACTATTTAACTGAACATAATGGAGTATGCATTAATATGTAACTGTGGTTATATGTATTTATATTAATATTATATTATTAAAGTAAAAAATTTCTTAGAGTAGGTAAAGTACATTTATTTCTTACATACCCCCAAGAAATTATGCAAGATCATAGACCAAATAATTGTGCATAAACTGCTCTTTTGTATTAGGTATATGAAGAGTTTCAAGAAGTCTTTGATTCTCACTCTGTGAATTGGACATCAGTAAAAGCTACCAAACAGAGTTGATGACAATTTAGTGAAGGCATAAAACAACAATATATGAATCCCAAGTTCTACAGTAGGCTCATGCATACAGTCTCAACAGACCTGTTTCAAGTATATCCCTCAGCACAGTGGGAAATGCGCACATGTCACGATCTGTCATGACAGGTATGTCAATAAGTGAAATCCCATATTAAATTGGAGAGTACTGAAGATTTACCTCAATTAAGAAGTTCCCAATGGAATGCAGTTATGTGCCTTTAAGTCACATAAATCTCCCTAAGCTTTGCCATCTACTTTTAAGCACACTATTATTGTGAGTGTCCCTAAGCTTCTCATGTGTTGGCTAATAGTCTTTACATTCCTACTTATTTGCAAGCTTTCATTGAAAAATCTAAAAAAATTTCTAAAAAATTTCTTAGAGTAGGTAAAAAATCTAAAATCTAAGCAGAGGTAAGGGGAAAAATATCTAAGTGCAGGTAAGGAAAGAATATGGCCAAGTTCAAACCACACACATAAATATTCCAAAGCCACCCGAATATATAGCCATCAGATTTGTCTCAGTCAGACTCTGCCAAGTCAATTCAGTCTGCAAACAAATAGACAAACAAAATCTAGAGATCAAACAACCATGAAATGATATAAAGCGCCATACTGCTTAGTTAGATCTGTTAATGTGTATTAATTGGTTAGTTTGCTAAGTGTTAATCCAAATTAGCAAATCCATAAATAGTTTTTATTAATCTTGTAAATTTTCTCTGGTACCAAAAATAAAAATTATAATTTTCTTTCCTTATTCAGAACAATTTCTGAAATATATAGTAAATTTAACCTTGCTAAATATCAGGCATGAAAAAGATTCTGGAATGCTAGCTTCCTCATTAAATGCATTACAGCAGTCTCTTTTCTTGGCAAGCCAACTCAGTGAAAGACATAATAAATGTAGACTTGAGAATTAAACGGTACTATGCTTAGTGTACCAAGCTCTCCATTAGACATTATACTTCCAAATTACACCACAATGTTCATCTTAATTATGTGCTCTCTTAAAACAGCTTCTGAAAAAACTTTAATGTGAATTTAATACATGAAAAGCATCTATAAAAAAATCATACTCTAGAATCCTAAACCTCACAGTAGTCTAGCATTTGTCACAGAGCCTTGCAATAAGAATGGAGTGGGTTTTTGAATTTCATCTTTGACTACTTAGTGAAATGAACAAGTCATACAGGGCATAACCTCAATGAAAACAACAGCAGAACTAGCAAAGAAATAAAAGTTCTCCTGACTCTCATATCAGCGAAGCTAAATCCTTAGTATCATGAATTGTAGGATTCAGATCGCATCCCATGTTAAAGAGGAATAGAAAGACTGTATTTTTAAAGTTGAAAATGAGCACTGATTTTAAAAATTCTAATTCTAGCTACTGTAGACATGAAAGGAGGAAACACGCTTTGAACTCAAGCACCATGACTTATAATTATTATTGTTTATTTTTATAGTGGGACTGGGGTTTAAACTTAGAGCCACACACTTGAAAGGCAGGTGCTCTACTGCTTGAACCACACCTCCAGTCTATTTTGCTCTGGTTATTTTGGAGATGGGGTAGTATGAACTATTTGCCAGGCTGACCTTGAACTGCCATCCTTCCAAGGATGAGCCTGCAATCCTTGGCTCCATGTAATTATTTTTAAAGAAGAAGATAAACTCTGGAATTGCCTCATGTATGAGAAAATCCTCAAACTCATCAACCAAGCAACAATCCAAACCCTAAATACTCCCTTGGTAATTGGACAAATGTGTTCATATTTTTCTTTTTGTCTTTATTATCTGTAAAATAGGGGGATATTTTTCTCATAGAGGAGTTACAGGGTGCAGTAATATAAGATGTCTTCTAGGCACAAAATAGTAGTTCAACAAAGATAAATTGAATATAATTTTGAATCTAAAAAGATGGAAACAATTTATCCTTCCAGGTGTGTAGGACGAGAGAGACCCTTTAGCCAATTATTCGAATTGGGGCAGGCTAATAACAGGAAACAGAAAAAGAGACTCAACTCTCCTCATCAAAAAGTCACACCCCATGCTGGACTCTTTCTTGCCCCTTCCTGGTACTACCCTTGGACATTCCTTCTTCTGGTCATTTTATGGTCAGAATTGCAGTTGTAAATTCCTCTGCAGTTGTAAATTCCTCAAAAGACAAGGGAGTCTCTTGGCTGGCTCAAGCTGGAAAAACAGCACTTGCTCCATAAAGGGAAATCTGCCCTCAATCTACTCTCTCTGCAGTCGCCTTCTACTTAAGATTTTATGAATGCTGGTCACATCTCATGCACACAATTAAAAACCTAGGAACAGGTGTAAGCACATGCACAGAATGCCCAATGTTACATAACAAGACCTTGTCAATCAAACCTGTCAGTTACCCTAGCCTCTTCCAAAAATACCTCCCAGATTTTTCTTGCCTTGACTCTTACAATAAATTGCCCATTAAACAAAGATCAGGGCTCTTGAGCAATCTAGGCAGAGCCTACATTTCTCTTGTGGTGTTCTTCCTTGCCTTCACTTTTTCTTGTCTTCATTTTTTTCCTACTTTCACTTTTTCTTCTTTCACCTTCAATAAAACTTTGCTGCTGCCTTGCAATCTGCATGTTTCTGTACAATTCTCTGTTGGGACATGAAAGAAACTGAGATCTTCTGAGACTACCCACCAGTAACAGAACCAAAAGTATTATTTAGTGAAGAGCTGATAGCCATATTTTTTTTCAAAATGCCAGCAGTATTTGCTGATATCACAGCCATACACACTGACTGGATTTCTGTCCCAGAATGACTGAGAGCTCTCTATCACAAGTCACAAGTCCCCAGAATGCAGGAAGGGATTCTGCACAAATCTAAACACTTAGCCATCATAAATCTACCAAAAATACTGTATTGGATATGTGAATAATAATCTTTTTCCAACTTTCTTTTATGTACCTCCTCTTGCCCCACCACTCCAAAACACCCATACCCAGAGGTAAGAAAGGATGTATTCTATCCACTGATGGTCCATCATTCCCTTGGCCTCCACACCTCATGGACATTTTGAACCTGAGGCAGCAGGTGCGCTAAATCAGGTTTAAACAATTTTTTTAATAAATCAGGGAGGAGGTGGCACAATGCAGCATACACACAGGACATCTTATCTGGAACCTATGACAGCTCCCTATTCACTCTTTGAATGAGTCATTTGTTCACAGCCAGGGTCATCTAGAATGATTAAAGACTCCACTAAAAGTAAGGAGGGAAGAGATTATATTCTTCACAATAAAGGTTAGTCTTTTACTTTCAACCAGCTACCTAAACAGACCTCCGTAGACTCTGACATTTGACCTGGTAAACTTA